ACGTACCGATCCGACAGGTTACCGATACACGGACTGCCCGGTACCGTTACAGTGCTACAGTACTATACTGTAGCACTGCTACAGTATGAAAAAGTATAAAATTGTTCGGTACACCAGGGTGTACCGCTCGGTACGCCCTGATGTACCGCTCGGTACACCGATACCGTACCGTACCGAGCCCGGGTTGAAACGCCGGTACAGTACGGTACGACGAACCTTGGTTAAACCAATTCCCCAAGAATAAGACTGGATATTTCTCGACTGTGGTCACCACTGTAGGGGTTAAGTTTGATGAGTTGTGAAGTCAAACATTCAGATCAAATCTAATACATGTTTCATCACATCATCTCCCTCCATTCTTATATACCCTACTGCCATCGGCTCTACCTGCAACCCACGCATCCTATTGGGCAGTTTACAAAGACTGCCCAATAACATTACATTTTTTAGGTGAATGCAATTGGTCTATCTTATGTGATTTTATTTTATCACTTACATTGAAAGCATATATATCTATTTACAAAGAGATAATTTAAAAATATTCAAAATATTTAAGATATTTTAATTTTTTAATTATTATTACTCAAATTAATTATTGATGATGATGATGGTGATAATATTTTTTATATAAAAAATAATGTTATATATATATATATATAAGCTACAATTATACAAAAAAAAATGTATTTGAATATTTTGTGAATTCCATGATACCATATCATCAGAAATTTCTTTTATGTTGAATAAAAATAAACATTTTATTATGGGCAATTAACCTAAAATTTGTTTATTCTTTTCCACCAAAATATGCTCCTATTTTTCACCAAACATTATTATTACAGATAGTTGCTGCGACAACAATTGTCTATATTGTAAAAGCATGTTTCTAACAATCAACGGAGATGTGGCTACGTTTCTAAAGAAGTCGCTATCCGATCCATTGAATAGAAACCTTTCCTGCCCGTCATTGGACACAAGGGTGAGACGCGTGGTGCGGTTCCTTGGTGTGTCATACCATAAGATTAGCGACTTTTCTGATGACCGTTCCGAACGAGATCGTTTCGGTCCTATTAATTGCGCGCTGAAAGCATCGTCTTCCCGCTCCATTTCCGTTTCAAATACTGTTGCGGCTTACGAAAGAGGGTCTCTCGCCTCGCCGCCCCTGATCGAAGTTTTGAGAAGATGAGCTATTACAACCAGCAGCAGCTTTCCATCGGGGTCCTTCCTTCCCAAGGTACTCCGACTCCTCCATCCATCGATGCTTTTCTAGGGTTTCAGCTTGCTGATGCTTGTTGTTGCTTTGATCAGGATATCTGCCAGAGAAGTACCCGAAAGACGCCTATCTGCCGCAGGGGTACCCGCTGGCTGGCTACCCGGATACCCTTCACTGTACGCTCAGACGCCCCCCAGCAGTCAATCAGCCGGCCTTCCGTCATGGAAGGATGGTAAGTAGTCGAAACTAAACTCCCATTTTCCCCCAATCCTTTTTTCTGTTTGCTCCCTCTTTTTTGCGTAGACGGATCGAACAAGAATTGATCTGATGATCCTGCGCCCCCGTCCTTCGCATGATTACTGTTTTTCCGTAGATTGGTGACGTTTGCGAGAAGTATTCCGCCATTTCTCCCGATGAGAAGTGTGCCGAATTCCTCGGAGCTTCTTGCAATGATTACTGTTTTTCTCACACAAAAATAGGACCATTCTTGCGTGTTTAATTCGGTTGGTGCAGCTTGGCCGCCCTTTGCTGTGGCTGTCTTTTGGATGCTTGCTTTTGAGATTAGGATCGAGTGAGAAGGTGCCCGACTTACGCATCCCGTTTCAAGGTGGTGGATCTTAGTTTCAGAATAGAGGTAGTCAATTTCGTCTTTTTCTTCTTCTTTTTTTTAATGTAGTGTTTAGATCGATTTGAAAACCGCCACTGGTCTTCTGCATCTCGCGGAGACAGGTTCATGTTGCTTATTCGAGATTTCTACGCAAGTCACATTGGCTTATCGTCGAGCCCACCACGTTTCAAGTAAACTATTCTGAACGAGAGAGAAAAACTATTTGACTTAGGGACTTGATTTTGGTAGTCACATTGGCTTATCCAGTTCTCGTTCAATTTGTTCTTAGAATTAGATCGTTTGGTAAACTCAATCAATTAGATAGAAAAGAACGATCTAATCCGATGCGAACCCATCACAAATCAAAACAGCCGATTGGGTTCATGAGTCATACCCGGTTGTTGGCTGATCGGTTCGTGTTTGGTTGTTCCTTTTCGGAATGGTTTGACTCGATTTGGTCTGATTCGCTTCTTAAAAACCTCTTAGCACAACCATGACTTGGTCTACCAATCTCACTCATAATGATCCGTTTGAATGTTGGATAAAGGTTTCAGATCCGATCCGGTCTGCTGGGAGCGGATTTGGCTCTGTAGTGTGTGTCCATGGTAAACATCCCATCCAACCCGTTAACATAGAATCTAGTTTTATATTAAAAAAGAAAATAGAGAGAGAATTTCCACGATATGATAGCAAGCATTCTTCCTTTTTCCTTGACAAGTGCTCATAACTTACACAGTGCCCATGAGATAATTGATGCATCTAGAACATGTTGCAGGAAAATTTTGTGTTTCTGGATAGAAAGCATGCATCAAGCGGTAAGATAGCAACGTTTTCTAGTGATTCCAACCTTGGCTTGGAGTGTCATTCAAGGTAGGCCCACAGCTCAAGTCATTTTAAGAACAGTCTCTTTGTAATAAATTAGTTGACTGTGAGCAAACCAATAGAACATCCCACGTGCTTGTTTTTAGCTAGCAATTTGCTTGCATTTTCTTGTCCATAAAACTTCCTCCCAGACTATGGTTCTTGTTGATTTTACATGGTGCAATATAGGCTTAATGAGTATTGTTATTTATAAATCAATAGTAGGACTATGAATATTCTTCTATACTCTTCCAACTTAGTTCATGGTATTAAGCTAGAGAGGAAATATAATTAGCTTCCAAGATGCTAATTTTGTGAATTTGACATTGCAGTTTTATAGCATTGTTATTAAAAGGGATAATCCAGGTCTATATCAATTAGAAAAATAGAAATGACTTGCTCATTAGTAACACTTGTATCATAGTGAGAAAAAGTCAAATGTCATGGCAGAAAACCTATTCCATCAATCTATCATCTAACTATGGGCACCTTTATTATGTAAATATGGTGGTGTTATTTATCTTGTTTGTTCAATACAAATATCCTTTTCCTGATGATTTTATATATATGTATACCCCTTAAAATACATTCATCACAGGAATGGGCCATGTATGAGTTTATCACATTCAAGTATTATCATGTATCAATTTTAGGAGTCATCTAAACCCAAATCAAGATATGATTACATTATCCTTTGGTCCAACTCGATTGAAGATATCTGGATAGTTTTCACTCTTTATCATGTAACAGGGAGACCTTGTAGTCAGACTTGAGAACAATCTGGAAAAGTCATAGATAAGATATCCCTTTTAGTTTTCAATAAAAAAAAAGGATGAAAACATATAGGCCATTGTAATGAAATGTGAGAATGGAGGAAAATATTCTCTTGGAGTGATCCTTTACAACCTTCTAATGGATGGTACCTTATATAGAACTCAGCACTAAAGAGGCCTCTACTAGTTTTGTAGAAAATAAACATGTCAAGACAAGCAGACAGGTATTGATAAAAGAAAATAAAAAACATCTCATCTTCATCATTTATTTTAAAAATAAAAAAAAAGTGAAAATAGGATGAACATTTGATTACGAGGAAAATTTTGTCAATCTTGTATCTAGTTATTATCTCAATTGCTTATCATATTAAAAGAAAATTGATTGTCACAAAATTGATTCGATTAAATTCGGATAGATTATTGAATTTATAAAATAGAAATAGGATGAACATCATCGAAGCAACGATTTCTAACGTATTCCTACATTCTGCACGGTATTTGTACTGTCGCTTTCCAGTAAAAGCCGTTTGGATTTGTTAGTTTGGCGTCGTAGTCCGTCACATGCGATTAGTTTGTTAGAAGGATTGATTTAAACCCAGTTTTCCGTGGCGGCTTCTCCAAGAAACCCATCTAACCCTCGACAAAGTCAACCGCAAGAAAACGTAGTTTGCAGAAACTTCTTAGAATTGCTTTAGTAATTCCGTGTCCAAGTTTGACTTATCAATTCCTTCTCTGCACACCAAGAAAAGGATACAGATATAATTAAATGTGTCAAATGTATATAAACACACCACGAGATGCCATCAGGTTTCAGAACTCCTTCATGTTCGCTTGCCCAAGCTATGTTGTGTGGATTGAGAAGCCTCAAAAGAGTCGACAAGTCATGGTCACCGAAGGCATCGAAGAAGAAGAAGGCCGACAAGAACCCGTACTCGACGCGAGGCCTCGACAAGTTCGCCGCCGTGCTTGCTGACCTCGAGAACCGAAGGGCCAAGATCATGGCGAACGCTGGACCGCAGGATGCGTCGACGTCGGTCTGGTTCATGTATTCGGAGTCCAGTGAGTGTGTGCCGATCTTGTTAAGACACAACGATCATATGAGCCGGCAGCCGATGCCGCCGGCGGTGACTCACGCCGCCGATGAAGACCTCAAGGAAGTCATACCGCTCGTGGGTTCTAAGGATGAGAAGGAAGTCATCAAGGAGATGGTTGCAGTATCGGAGAGGGAGGTGAAGAAACGATGGTCATGGAGGGACTGGAGGCCAAGCTACTATTGGCCTCTGGTGATGGTGACGGTGCTGATACTGTTCTGCTTGTTGATGTTTGGAAGAGTGTTTGCCATATGCTGCACCTCGATATGGTGGTACATGGTGCCCACAATGCAAGGAGAAGGTAAGGCTCAGAGGAGAAGGGTGAAGAGGAAGAAGGATGACAGGCGGATGAGTGAGAAGAGTTTGGTGGTGGCACCTTCCTCCTACCAGGACAAGAAGGTGGAGAGGACATGCAAGTGATCTGGAAGACCTTCATTGATTCTTGGTCGTAAATATTTTTTCCCCGTTTTTCGATCATTATGTGATTACTGATGTAAATTATCTTTCTGGATGATGGGTTTGATCGGGAAGAAATATCCAAGCTCATCATCTTCGGAGTTGGTTTTTGGGATTGAGATCTCAATAATGATGTTCTTGGTTTGTGATCTTGAGCCGTAAGCAAGGTTAGAAACTGGTTGTTTGCTACAGCCGCAGAGGGGAAAAGGCTTCGCGGTTTCCAGGGGTTAGACTTTCTTTGGTCAACGAACAGGCGCTATATTGTATATATGAGGAGATAACAAGGTATCACCTAACGATGATCTCACGTTGACTGAAATGAGGATCGCCAAGAAAGTTAAGATTGCTCACCCTGTGCAACAAGGTTAATTATATTAAATATACGGAAGTTAAGATTGTCAGGTTCTCACGGAAATCATCTCTTTAAACCTCATATTAATGGAACCTCGTGAACTCTGTATATAATTGTTTTATAATTTTCTCACATCTGCTTCATTGTATGATTGTTGATATATGATTCCGAGTTCTTACACTAAGGAAATGCAGTCACTTGAGCTTGATTTAATGGTCATAAGCAGCCCGATTTAAACTTAGATTGGGTCTAATCTCTGCTGTTCGTATCTGGGCTCAGCAATGGCGCCAAAATTACCGGTTAGCACGAGAACAGGAGCCATGAAGAAGGTACAGTGTACAGCATCAATCGTTGACCGGCAAATTGACGGACCGGATGATCGGGTGGATCCGTCGATCACATCAGTCAACACACGGCGTCAGGTTCTGCAACATGATTCACTTGTTAGCCGCCATCACGATGACCACGAAACAATGGATGAACAGCGACCCTATGCCAAACATCACATTCGTTAGCCACCGCCTTAGGAAGAACCGGTCTGGAATCCGAATTATCGAATTGAACCGGGTTCAACCAAGCAATTCTTGATACGAATCGGACGAACTGGCTGATCCAACTGGCCTTCACCGATTAAATGGTCATCCTACTCCATTTAGGAAGACGAAATTAAACTTGTTCGCAAATAAGGTGCACGAGTACGGTGGAAGTGTCGTCCTCAAATCTGTCATAGCACGAGAAGTTGAAGACGTAGCTCGAGACCGAGATATAAGGGATTTTTGATTCGATTCCTATGATGAATATTGGGATGTAGTATAATATGATGATGATGATAGAAGATAATTTCTCTAATTATACGAAGAAATTTCTCTATTCTGTTGAGAAAAATCTTTCATTCTGTTGAGGAAAATCTTTCATTCTGTTGAGTGAAATCCTTCCTCGTAAATAGGAAAGGGATAGCTTAATGTATTTAAGTTTTTTCACTTCTTTAATAAAGTTTCTTCAATAAAACTTATTCAATAATTATTTTTATCTTATATTATTTTCATCAGAACAGTGAGAAAAATGAAGTTTTACCTATCAAAAAAATAAACGAAGCTTCGCTCTTGCTGTGAAGCTTCGCCCTTGCCTTTATTTATAGCCTAAGTCTCTAATAATTTATGGTTGGGATAATTAGAGTGAGTATCAAGATGATAGGTAATGTGATTAATCATCTTTAGAGTGATAGTTTCGATCATTCAGGTGATAAGCGTTATAACCTAATTATATTTAGAGTGGTAGTTGTGACTTATCGAGGTAGTGGAATCATTGCCTATGGAGATGGTGGTAACGTGATCTAATTGTTGGTGGGGTAATGATTTTGATTGTCGAGGTGGCGTAACTATCACTAAGAAGGTGACTGACAACATGACCTAATTAAGTTTAAGATGATGGTTTCAATTATCAAGTTGCCATAATTACATAGTCTAATTGTCTCTTAGGCGACATTTAGACCATTGAAATGGTACAGTGACTGTTAATACAATTGGTGATGCATACGCAACGCAGTGTTAGCCTCTATGTCACATAAAGAGGTCATATATCCAAAAATGAACTTCGTAAGAAATGATAAGCACAAAGAACTTAAAGAAAGCTTAAAATGCTTACAGAAGTTTGGACACCGAAAGGAAAATGTGTTACTCAAGTAGGACTCTGGTGTTTTTCGACCGATGCCCTGCAAGAGCATGAGCGAGGGTTTATATAGAAAGAAAGGATAGAGCCGGGTGCTCATTGGGCCCCATCGCACTTATATCCGTTCCTTTTTATATTCCTTCGTCCAGCTGTTGCCAGCTTTCGAA